GGAATTTACACAATTTTTCCTGAAAAATCACAGAATATCAAATTCGCACAGAATATTAGATAAACAACATTGCAAGACTTTAATTCTACTGCATAACATTTAATCTCATCACAGAAAAATACAGGTGAAATAAACACCGCCGAATTCAAAATACCAGGACAAAAATCTCCAGAAAATAATCAAAATGTGCACACTCGACACGTCAACAACATACAGAAACTTACGCGGTAAAACTGAACTAGTCGGAAAATACGGACGAAATTAGTTAACAAAAATGAAATCCGGACATAAAAGTCGTTCAAATTGCACCGTTCTGAAAATTGAGAAAGGCGAATGTGCCTTACCTTGCGTACAACACTTTACTGAACTGTTACGACGAACAAAAATGGCCCGTCGTCGCCCGAAAATCAACTTTTCCAATTTAGCTCTCGACTTTCTCTCTCCTTGGCTGATTTTAGATATTTATTTTGATTTTATTCTCTCTTCAAAATGACCTGATTTCAGCTTTAAAATAACTCAGATCGTCCTGGCCGATCGCACGATCGTCCTGGCCGATCGCCGATGTCTGGCCGATCGCACGATCGTCCTGGACGATCAGACCAATTTCACATCGTCTTGGGACGATTTCGCAGACGATTCAGGACGATAATTAATTTCCAAAACCCTTGCTCTCTGACTTGTGCCATCCACTGATCGTCCCGGGACGATACCTCGATCGTCCTGGACGATCAGACCAAAAACCCATCGTCCTGGCCGATTCCTTTGACAATCCTCAGGACGATAATTAATTCTGAAAAAGTCCTGCTCTCTGTCTTTTGTACTGAACTGATCGGCCTGGGACGATGCCCCTATCGGCCTGGCCGATCCTGGGAGAAAAATCACCTGGAGCAATCTGGGCAAATTCTGGAGCAAATCTTCAACTGATCGTCCAGGACGATCCGTGGAGCAGAAACAGAACTTCACAATCTCCCAACTTTGAAAAAATGTCGTCCTCGACATTGTCCAATCCAAACAGCGTCAGAACAAGTACGGGTACAACTGTCTCATATCAGACTCCTTCTCCCAAGTAGCTTCCCGCGCAGTACGATGCTTCCACTGCACTTTCACCATCGGAATCTCTTTACTTCGTAGTTTTCGGACGTCGTACGCCAAAATCAACTCTGGCTCTTCTTTGTACGACAGATTCTCCTGAATCTCAACTTCGTCAGCTGACAGCTTCTTCCCAGAGTCAGATACCCACTTCCTCAAAGTGGATACGTGAAACACGTTATGCACGTCAGGCATCGAATCAGAAAGTAACAGTCGGTAAGCAAATTTTCTAATCCTTTCCAGGATTTCAAAAGGGCCAACATACCTTGGACTAAGCTTGCTCACCTGGCCAAATCTGCTCACACCCTTCATCGGGCTGACTTTGACTTACACAAAGTCACCAACTTGAAACTCAACAAACCTGTGCTTTTGATTATAATATTTCCGCTGTCGATCCTGAGCGCTTTCAATCTTTCTTTAATCAAGCTGATATTCTTAACAGTTTCTTTAAGGAAAGTGGCACCCAATTCCTGTCTATCTCCGACCTCAATCAGAGTCAAAGGAGTACGGCACTTCCTGCCATACAGAGCCTCATACGGTGCCATACCAATGCTAGACTGAAACTGTTGTTATAGGCAAACTCAATCAGAGGAATGTGATCTTCCCAACTTCCTCCAAAATCCAAAACACAAAGCCTCAACAGATCTTCCAGTACCTGAATGGTTCTCTCAGACTGTCCGTCGGTCTGAGGATGAAAGGCTGTACTGAAATGCAGTTTCGTACTCAAGCCTTGCTGAATCCTTTCAAAGTCTGGAAGTAAATCGTCATCTCGATCAGATACGATCACTTTAGGCACACCGTGCAATCTAACTATTTCCTTCACATATATCTGTGCCAAGCGATCCATCGGATCAGTCTGCCTGATCGGAAGAAAATGGGCGGACTTCGTCAGTCGATCAACAACACTCAATGGCGTCGTGTCCTTGTCTAGATCGAGGAAAACCCATCGCAAAGTCCATCGTTACCTCCTCCTACTTCCACTCAGGGATAGGCAACGACTGCAACAGTCCACCTGGTCGCTGATGCTCTGTCTTCACCAACTGACAGGCTTCGCATCTCGACACAAACTCTGCCACATCCTTCTTCATCCTAGGCACCAGAACAAAGCTTCATGTCTGCATACATCTTACCACTTCTTGGATGAATAGTGTAGCCTGAAATGATGAGATTCGTATAGAATCTCCTGCCTCAAATTTCCCAAACCCAGGTACCCACAACCTGTTCTTACAGAAAATAGCACCAGAATCAGAAATTCGAAGTTCAGGAGTCTTACCAGATCCAATCTGAGCAATCAACTTCGAATAGTCAGAATCTGACTTCTAGGCTTCCTAATCCTTGCTTCCAAAGAAGAACTGAATACTCATCTGAGCCAAATCTAAACCACTGGAGGAAATCACCTCCAACTGCAATCGCTCCATGTCTCGAATCAGGAAATCATCAAAAGTGAGCTGCAAACCTGATAATCCAGAAGACTTCCTACTCAGAGCGTCCGCTACCACATTAGCCTTCTCAGGTTGATACTGAATGGTCAAATCATAGTCCTTGATCAACTCGAGCCATCTTCTCTGTCTCGATTCAATCAAATTCTGTATACAGCTGTTGTGCTGCCCGATTTTTGTCTGATTTTTGAATTCGTTCGGATTTCTTCTGAATTGATATGCTATATGTATATGCTATATAAAGGGAGTTATAAGGGGCCTGGATCCTAAGAGATCCAGTTAGTGTCTGGGAAATCTGAAATGAGCTCAATCTGAAATCTAATATCTGTTCTGTTCCGGATCCGATGAAATCTGTTCTGGTGCTATAAGCACATCTGTTCTGGTGCCGTGAGCACAAAGGGAGGCATAAGGGGCTGGAATCCATAGAGATTCTGTCAGTGTCAGAGAATTTAGCTATTAATTACAATACTATCTAATATCTGATTTAATATGACTTCTATTTCCGTACAGTTCTGTTTGATCTGTTCCGTATCTATTCTGATTTGATATATGTCCGTATCTGTTCTGATTTGATCTGTTTTGTTCTGATATGCACGATTTTGATACCTGTCTGATTCTGTTCTGGTTTCTGTATGGATTTTGTTTGAAGTGTTTGGTTTTGGATTCTGGAAGTTTTGATTGGAGGTTTGTTGCTTTGCTGAGCTGTTAAGCTCACCCTTGTTTTTTTCTGTGTGTGTTTTTCAGGCTCTGGGAAAGGGAAGGAGGTCTTGGACTAGAGTTCAGAGTCTGATCAGATCAGTTATAGGTATTTTGTACTTTTTGATTTTTGTACAGTCATGGCTTTTCTTCTGTGTTCTTTCTGTCAGCCATGTACTGTATTTGTAGATGATTGTTTTGAGGAAAAGAAAAATATAGATGAATTGTTCCGCTGCATTTGATGTTTCATAGTAGCTATGTGTTATCTGTTTTGAGTTGAAATATTTAGAAGAATCAGTTCCGAAGCAAATTCCAAAGTCAGATCCTGGTCTGTCTGTTCGTTAAGCTGGTCGCGGCCCGGTGCGGGCGGGATCCGTCTCGGGTCGGGTCGTGACAGATAATGCATGCAAATCTCTGTCGCATCAATGATAAGAGATCTTCTGTGCACCATCTCCCTACTAGAGTCGACAAAGTCAGAAGAAAAAAAGGCGTGATAATTTTTATCAGAGAGATCACAACTATTTATTTCAAATGGCTAAATGATAGCTAAATTGAGTCTGAACCATGCTCAATTTGACTTGATTCGAGTCGATTTGAGTTCAATTTATTCGAATAAATTTGTTTTATATTATTGAACCCAAATAGTTGCAAATTCGAGCCAAATTAAGCTCAACGAGGCTCCATCGAGTTGGTCGTGTTTGATTAAACATAGCTATGTTTGATTTGATCTAATTCGAGTTCAATTTAAGTTCAATTGGGACAAGTTGAGCCAATTTAATAAAATTGAACTTGAATAGATGCAATTGAACCTGAATTGGCACCGACTTGAGTTGAATTAGGCTTGATGAAGTTCAATTAGCCTGCTCGGACATGCTCCATGGGAAAATCATACCAAAATTGAGGTCACACTAGTTTTTTTAGAGGTCACACTATTGTTTTGTTTGGAAAATTTAAAAGTCATGTGATCCCTTTATGCCTAACAATGAACTAATTGTAATATATTTCTATTATTTTTTTCTTTTTCTTAACAACATTTTATAGTTGTCCTTGAAAAAAAATTGTCACTAATCATGAGTTTCTTCTATTTATTATTATGATTTTTTGTTCCTAAATTTGAACAATTTATGCATCCTTACTAGTCATGAATAAAAAACTTAATCCTTCAATTGGCCATTCCTTTATATCAATGCATATATGATTTATATTTGGCCCCATCTCCTTATATCCCTCTGAACTCGAGACTTCAATATATCACTATACACGCAAAAGCTAATCATTTTTTGCTCTTCATTGTGCATTACTCAAATGATTTGACATGCCCATAGTATGCTTGATGACCTTATTCAACCCCTCACTTGAGGCAATTGTGCCACACATGAGCTTAAGAAAAAATGACTTAAAGATTAATGCTATATTGGGAGGATTCATCAAGGAGTGGCTTCTATGATGTAGGAGATCCTCCGTGCTTGTCCTTGGAAGAGTTCTACTATGAAGAGAGCTTAGCACGAGTTGATAATGATACTGAAGAAAATAATGCTTTTATAAATGATATTCACTTTTCCCTTGACTATACAAAACTTAAAGGGAGCAAAAACTTTATAAAACCAACTAACCTAATTCAAATGTTCTAATTTCTAAAACGTGATTATAAAATGTGTTATCACTCAATTGTGATATTTTGATCTAAAAAATACTTTGAAGGATATTTGCCCAAATAAAAATATAAGGAGGATATTTATCCAAAAAGACCCATCATGAGCGATAACAAACTAAATATTCTATTATAAATCATAAGAACTCTTTAGGCCAATTTAGTTGCGACTTACAATAAACAAATATAAATTAAGCTAGTTGATGACATGTTTAGCTCTTAAGCATGATTACAATTTTTGTTGGCTGAAAAAAAGATGATATAAGTTGAGCATGAAAAGTTCGATTGGCTATATTTTAATTTAATTACATTATTTCTCTCATGATTATAATTTTTTAATTATGCAAAATAAGCTTAATCAATTTTAGCCCAATGAGATTCAACTTTCAGGCTCATGATGTAATGCTAAAAAAAGAGTTACATTAAAAAAAAAAAAACAGTTTAACCACAATTATGAAATGTATCTTATTAAAAAAAAAAAACAGTGGTTAATGTCGAGTTCTCTATTTCTTAAACATCTATACTTATACTGCTCAGTCTCTCTCTCTTCTAGACAATGAAATTCCTCTCACTACTCTCTCGCGACAAAATCATCGTGCAGAGGGCTATGGCTCTCATCGACAACGCCGCAGCAGTCGATGATCTCCTCAAAGTCCACGCCTTTCTCGTGAAGACTTCCTTCGACCACAATATGTTCGTGCTGGCCAAGTTCCTACGCCGTTGCTTAGAACGCGCTTCTGATGAAGCTATCATGTATGGGCGAGCATTCTTTGATCAAATAGAACTCCCAGACGCTTTTATTTGGAATACTATTATACGTGCCTATCTACTTGCTCGGAATCCAGGTGAATCACTGCGCCTATTTCGGCAAATGTGTAGAATTTCTGGAAGCATAGCTACCGCCGATAGTCACACATTCTCAATCTGTATCCAGGCATGTGGAAGATCGGAGAAGCTCATAACTGGATCAAGTATACACGCCCAGTCAGTCAAGCTAGGTTTTTGCTCCGATTTATTTGTGCAGACCGCCCTTGTAGACATGTACGCGAACAGTGAAGATATCTGTAATGCAAGGCGTGTGTTTGATGAAATGCCAGACAGAGATTTGGTTGTGTATAATGCGATGCTGGCAGATTATGTATACTGTGGAGATATCTCGGTAGCCCGCTTCCTGTTTGATGAGATGCCTGAAAGGGACTTGATTTCCTGGAATACCATGATTCATGGCTATGCCAAGAGCGGTGATATTGGTGCTGCGAGGGAGATGTTTGATGAAATGAAAGAGAGAGATTTGGTTTCATGGAGTTCAATAATCTCCGCCTATGCTCAGTGTGGTAAATCGAATGAGGCATTGATGCTGTTTCATGAGATGCAATTACATGGGGTTGTTCCTGATAAGGTCACAATGGTAATAGTTCTTTCTGCTTGTGGAGACATGGGCGCTTTAGGCATGGGCAAGGCCATCCATAGGTTGATCAAATGGCATGGAATTGCAGTGGATATCAAGCTTGGAACTTCTCTGATTGACATGTATGCTAACTGTGGTGATATAGAGAATTCACTTGGAGTCTTTTATTCTATGACTAGAAAGGATGCACTCACTTGGAGTGCTATGATTATTGGTCTAGCAAGCCACGGACTAGGAAAAGATGCATTGGATCTATTCTCAAAGATGATTTTGGAGGGTGTACAACCAAATGATGTCACTTTTGTTGGGGTGCTTAGTGCATGCGATCATTCTGGTCTTTTAAGTGAAGGAAAGGCTCATTTTGACTCCATGACTAAACTTTATGGTATCAAACCTAAGATGGAGCACTATGGATGCATGGTTGACCTCTTGGGTAGATTAGGGCTCATCAAAGAGGCTAGGAAGCTTCTAATACGCATGCCTTTTGAGCCAGATGCAGTTGTTTGGAGGGCATTACTGGGGGCATGCCTAATTCATAAAAATGTAGATATGGCAGAGGAAGCTATAATAAATCTTATCAATTTAGAGCCTCATGTTTATGGGCATTATGTGCTTCTGTCAAATGTATATGCTCAGGCCAATAAGTGGGATGATATGGCTATAGTGAGGAGGACCATGAGAGGCAAAAGCATTCTGAAGGTTCCTGGATGCAGTTTTATTGAATTAGAAAATGTTGTTCATGAGTTTGTTGCTGGTGATAGATCACATCCAAAGACCAATGAGATCTATAGGATGGCGGAGGACATTATTGATCAGGTAAGGAAAGCTGGTTACTGACCAATGGGTACATTAACTAACTTTAAAAGGTGCTGATTGCCATGTTTTTTCAACACAGTGAGTGTTGTTAGCTTTCTTCAATCTTCTGGGTTCCTTCCAAAGTCTTTACTTTTGCATTGTGAAGAATCTCCATGTATGCGAAGTTTTTCTTTTGGCTTTTAAGCTTATTTATTTGAGCTATGAGTGACAATTCGGTTCAGAGACCATAACAGTTTCTCCATTTTAATAGAAAGGAGTGCTGTAGCAAGGATTATTGGTGATGCGAAATTTCTGTTGGAAAGGTATGCTAAGAATATTGTAACAGTATCAGATTGAAGTCGGAGCTAAATTTCTTACTTCAGAATGATGGAAAATTTGATTCGTTGACAAAACGCATCTTGGAAGGTAAACAAGATGCCCACAAAGGTGAGGAAATCGTGTCATTTGTTAGAAGTATTAAATATTCTTTAACTGAAACAAAGAACTTCCCGTGATCCTAACATTTAATTTTTATTTGTGAAGTATTAGGTGAAAAGAACCGAAGAGAAAATAAAAAAACCTCAGCAAAGATCACCCTAATAATGCCGTAGTGGAGAAAGTGAATTTCCAAGCAAGCATGATTGCTTTTGAAATTATGGTTAAAGCTGTCGTAAGCAAACATTTTGATAGGAGGGAAGGCCTCAAGCCAGGTAGCTTTATTAATGTGCTGTTCTTTTAATGAAGGAAAGCAGGTGTTTTGTTGAGCCGCAAGATTTGATATGTATTGTATGAGGTTGAAAGTCATGGTTTGTTAATCCGTTCTTTGAGAAAGCAACACCAATGATTGAGGAGCACCTCGTCTCTATGGCTTTGATTTTGGTAAGAATTGAATCAAATGGCAAAATAAAGTTTCTTGTAACCATTGACCTATGGCCGAAGTACTATCCAAAAAGAATATTATGGAAATGTGTATGAAAATCTAAAACTTATTTTATAGATTTACTTTGATTATCTTTCACTTGTTATTCTTTCTTATTGAATGTATTTTCTCTTTAATTCTTAGTAAAATGATTTGCTTCTCATATAAATATATAAGTAGGGATGCTCGAGTATAATATAAATCTTCAAGAAATGTATTTCTCTACATAATTTTTTTTCCTATCTTACTCTCATGGAGCTCGTTGAGGACCGCTGTCACGTGTGATTGGAGAGGAGGCCACTGTTTCTTGCCCATTCTCTTGCTCTCGCATGTTCAATCCACTTCTTACCCACATCTTTTTGCCTTTTGGCTGACTCCACTATCACTATTTGTTGCATTGGTAGTTTGCATATCGTGCACAAATTTGTTATCCTTATCGTTGGATGGTTGAAGTGGAGGAATGCATCGGGCTTATTGTGCGATAGAAAAGTCCCCCTCAAACTTAAGGGAAAATTCTATAAGATGGTGGTGAGACCTGCAATGCTTTATGGTGTCGAATGTTGGCCATTAAAAGAGAAGCATAATACTAAGTTAAGTGTTGCAGAGATGAGGATGCTTAGGTAGATGAGTGGTTTGACCCTTAGAGATAGGATACAAAATGAGCATATACGTGAAAAGGTTGGAGTAGCTCCAGTGGAAGATAAGATCAGAGAGAGTCGTCTTAGATGGTTTGGTCACATTAAACGGAGGCCTTCCGATGACCCGGTTAGGAAAGTTGAGGTATTAGATTTGGCTTATGTTAAGAAAGGTAGAGGTAAACCTAAAAAGACTTGGTTAGAAAATATTAGAAATGATCTTTCTTTATTAGATTTAGATGAGAATTTAACTTTTAACCAGACACAATGACGAAAAAGGATTCATGTAGCCGACCCCACGTAGTGAGACAAAGGCTTGATGTTGTTGTTGTTGTATCGTTTATCTTTTCTCTTTATTATAAGACATAATTATCCATCTAATCATTTGAACTGACATATCATTACCACTTGATTTGGATTGCTTATGATGTAATAAAAAAGAGATTCTTATTTAGGGGATTGCTTTATAAAAGACTTGTCATTTATGAGAAAGAGTTATAATTTTTTGTTACCTTTTATTTTCTTTCCTTATTGTTATTTTTTTTAGATGTTTAAGTCTTTTAAAATAAGATGATACTTATATGGTGAAGATACTTTATGGACATTTCAAACAATTACAACAAAGCCTGCCTCTTCCTCTCTATCTTCTCATGTGGAGTCTCTCATTCGACCCCTCTCTTTAACCTCCTTTTTCTTTTCTCTATGGACTCTGTACCAAGGAAGAATCCCAAAACTCATTCAACTTCATTTGATCCTTCTTAATTGCTTTCAAAATCAAATTGGCCCGTTATAAATGCAACACATGAGTAGTAAAGTTTTTCTCTCCTCATTTTCTCTCTCTAGATGCTCTCTCATTATTCATGTGCGCTTGATCCGCTTTCATGCCCCCTCTTTCCTTTCTTGATTTTAAGGTCCTTTTTTTTTGCATGCTAAACGTCATCTCCTGAAAACCTAAACACATGCTTCATAATATTTATGGTTTAAGGCTCTAAATATCGTGTCTTGTTAATGTTATTGAACTATAGCATATTTCTAGTTAATGTTTTTGGATTATATCACATATTTGTGTTTTATATTATGAAATCTGTCCTTGACCTAGATTATTTAATGTGAGATGAAGTATGAGCTGGAGCAAGACCAGTGCTACGGATGACCCTCAAGCTGCAGATTTAAGGTAATTTATTTGCCCCAAACAAGGAGATGATGATGATATTTTCACTTTACATATAAAAATGCAAACTAAGGCACATTTGTTCTATTACTTGAGGATAAACTATAGACATGAAATGAAGTACCCTTATTCTTGCCATATTTCCAAATGGCGTAATTTCCATGTGTAGAATATGATGGAAATGAATCAAATGAGGAAAAACATAAAGTGGAAAACAGAAATCGCACCAAATGTTTAGAAAATTATTGCAAAGACCAACCACCAAAAGAAATTTCATTAATTCTTTTTTTCTTTGAAAGTTTCAAAAATACATTTTGGAAACCATGTCACCGAGAAATGCCAAAAAACAATTGTAATGATGGTATTTTGCATTACTATGTAGCATCCATGTATATCTCTCTGTGAAAATCTCATATTGTTGGAAAACCATTAGTGTTCGAAGAAGAAATGAAACCTTACGGTGATGCATTTGCGTGGAATGCTATCATTGCGGCATACACCCCATCCTTATTATTACTAAGTACATCATGCTTTCCTTTTTCTACAATCTTCCCATTTTTAACAACTGCAATGAAACTGTTGTTCTTAATTGAAGTAAGTCGATGGGTGACTGTAATTGTCGTTCGATTAATCATAATTTGATCCAATGCATCTTGAACAACTTTCTCAGATTCTGCATCTAGAGCACTAGTTGCCTCATCTAGAAGTAAAATCTTTGGCTTCTTAAGTATGGCACGTGCAATTGCTATTCTTTGCTTTTGTCCTCCTGAGAGTTGAACTCCTCGTGCTCCCACCATCGTGTCATAACCCTACATATATTTTGTCAGCATTATAAGTGTTTTACTGTACAAGTTGAAAGCTAATAAGAATGTATGTATGTATGTTTTTTTTTTGGGGGGGTTCAAAACTAACTCTTTTTAAGAATAAGGAGCATTTATTTGGGTGGTATATACCCCTCTTCTAACTAAAAAAAAGAGGAAATGAGCAATTTTAATATTCTTAAGATTCATTACTGCAATGTCTATTTTGTAATATATATATATATTTAATTGGATGAATCATTTCTCCATTTTGTTAAAAATAAATTTTGGGTAAATTGTTCCTTAAATTTTTTACCAAGAGACAAGTAGGCCAATTCCCTACAAATGTTAAATTCCAAAGCAACTCTTGTCGCATGTATGTTTCACATCAAAGAGTCTCTTAGAAATCTCTCAAATAGCAGGTCTTACATCTTCCTTTGGAAGATGACTAACTATTTTGATAGGTCTTACGACTTCTGCATTTAGAAGTGGCATGAAGGTGGGCTTTACAACCTAACCCTATAAGCAAGACGACCCGAATGTTATATTTAGGGTTAGGTTACTTTTACCTAGAGATTTATGCTAACGCATTAGCTAAAATTAGACTTACGATCTCTATTAGAAGTTGTCAGGTTGTGGGTTTTAAGTTTTTTTAATAGAGTTTGAAGTTTTTTTTTTTTAATAGGCTTTGAGAATTGACCCATTCGATTAAATTTATTGTCAACACGACCATCATCGGGGTGACGTGAAAGTCAATTTAAATGTTTGTATTTTATAGAAATTTGGGAGGTATTTTTTTAGTTTAGGGTCCCCTCAGGTTGAGATTTTATGCCAACACGACCATCATCGGGGTGGTTTATATGATTGATTATTTGAGCCTTGTCAACTCTATTTACCCGCTAACAGAGGATCGAATTCAATTATTGGCCTCATGATTTATTATACGAATGCCAATACCCGATATTCTTTTATAATACATTTTATTTAAATAGCCTCTGAAGGTCAAATGTGAACTTCAAACTAAATATCCCAATAGATTTGTGATTAGGCATTCATTTGTTAATTCTAGTCATGTCGACTCCAATCGTTTCAAAGAGGATGAAACTTGAATATTTTACTTTCGCAACATTCTCGGACCTTTGAATTAGGAGTTCAAATGTGATGATCGAAGCACATGTGAGATTTTTTTTTGATATATGAACTGCTAAGAATTTTTTTCCAACGCTTATAATCTTCTTGGAAGTCTTCAAGGCATACTTTCTATAAACACCAACTTGTGAGTTATTAACCAATAAAGAGTTTTCTTCAACCTTCGTGGTCAATCATTAGACCAATGTACACATACAATGGGATCACAAGCCAATTTGTACACACATGCTTGCATGTGAATATTCCATATTGCATTTGGATTGTCATGTTCTTGCCAGACGGGTGGTTATTCTATTTTCTTGATTCATTGGCTTCTTATGTTGGCGTAATCCCTTCTGTTATTCTAAAACAAGCATTATCAATCATTCAAGATCCAAGAACCCCTTCAAAGAAGCAATGATGTATTCTATTAGCAGATTTCCCTCTATCAACATGGTTTGAAATATCTTCTTTTTTAGACGCTCTTATATGCAACATGGAGTGGTGAAAATCTAGTTTAGGCTTCCTTGATTTGTGTATGGTTGCAGAGCTAGGGATTTGATTGGTGCTTGTGGAACTTGTTATTGGAGAGAACTCATCTCTAATTTAGAGTTTTGTGTTAGGTTCAAAATAAATAAGCTAAATTTTAGCTCACTTTGTTTATCTTCAACCTTAAGTTTCTCTTTCATAAATATCCAAAATTTTTTCCTAACATTAGGTTAATAATTGTCTCTTGAGATTTTATGAGGTACACATGTTCAATATCAATAATAGTTAGCCCCTTTTTATTAATTGATATGACACATAATTAATTTAATTCATCATTTTATTAAATGACAAATTTTATTTAAAATTGATTATGTTGGGGCCCTTTATTATTTAAAATTTTGGCAGCCTCCCGACGTCCTCTTCCGACGAAAGGAGGTTGGTAGGGCACTTTCCCTTTCAAATCCGCCCAACCAGATAGATATTTGACGGCCGAGGGCTTCATGACGTTGATTGGTCCTGACATAGGTCTTCGCGCTTCAATTGTGTGGTAGTAATACATGTTAATTTAATTTAAAAGTGCTATATATTATTTCCTGAAAATATGTCATCCTTCCAACGCCCCCTCCCCGCGAGGGGAGGTTGGGAGGACACTTTTCCTTTCTAATCTGTCAGTTCGGACAAATATTCAACAGCCGAGGGCTTCGGGAGAATAATCAACCAAATTTGTCTTCAATCTTCGATTGACTCGCGATACCCGTTAATTTAATTTAAAAAAAATGATATATTTTATTCCCCTTGAAAATTCAACATACTTTTGGCACCCCTCCCTGCGAGGGGAGGTTGGGGAGGGCACTTATTCTTTTGATTCACTCGATCAGATTAAAATCGAGGATCATATTAAAATCGAGGATCGAGGGCTTCGAGGTAAGAATCGACTGTCGAATCAATCTTCGGATCTTCAAATTGACGATTGTGGTGTCTTCCTCTTTTTTTGCTTATTATTATTTCTAATAATAATAATAATAATAATAATAATAATAGTTATTGTTATAACTATAATCACATATATAATCCTCCCTTCTCTGCTCACATTTTCAAGAAAATAGAGATGGGCTTGGGCATATGATCGGACACAGGCAGAGGAATGCGAACGATAAGAACTGTTCACGCGGTTCTGCTTGCGTATGGGGCAGTCAGGAGGCAGACCCGTTCGGGGCTTGACCGTGGCAGTCGGAGCAAAGGCCGGATCAAGGTTTTACTTCAGGTTCGATTGCGGTAGTTGGGTGGAGGTTGGCTCGGTGCTGTGTGCCACGATTCGGCCGTAGATGGGGCGGAGGGATCAATCAGGTAGGTGTTTAGGACCAGTGCGGCTAAAGGCGTGCAGACGAAATGAAGGCTTCGACTATGGGGTCGTTCGTGTGGAACCGAAGGGAGGCCACATTCAATGCAGACGGGATGGTGACACGAGAGTAGGAGGAGATCGAGAGAAAAGAGCGGGCTTCGTCTTCTATCCATGAGTTTGACTGAATCGAGTGAGGTATCTTCTATTTATTCTATGCTTGTGAGGGAGTTACATGGAGAGGAGTGGGATCTTGGTTTGTGATTAGTTAGAGGTCAACATTTATTTGGTAATATTTTCTCACAAGTGTTTTATTCTTCATTTTCCGGCTTTTGTTCAGCCATCCTTTCATCCTACGATTTATTGTTCTTATGTATTCCTTGGGAGATTATGATGTTTTCTCCTTTGACTTCTGTTGCTCATGCCATTTTACCCTTCTCATCTTTGTTGTTAATTATGACAATTCCTCGTAAATGTTAATATGGTTTTGATAAAACTATTTTAGACATAGGTTATATAATTAAGTTCATAATTACAATTTTAAATAGTCAATCTAGATTAACTATGTTCTCATTATAAATATCATAGTGCAACAATATTAGTTGACTATTGTAGTTCGATACTATTTTGTACGTAATTGTGATTGATTGAGCGCTCTTATTATTTAGGATCATTTGGTTGTCGTATATGTTGTTGCCCTTTGGATCTATACTAAGCTTGGGATTCCAGCTTTGCATATCAATATAGGTAACTTTTATTATAAGAGAATAAATATAACCTTCTTTATTAGGGATGTTATCTTTAATGTTTCGAATATGTTGCTTGAATATTTAGTAAATTGCTACTTATATCTTATTCATTCATGCCATTAAGTTTAGTTTGCCTTGTACATTCATAAAAAAATTAATTTTCATATTGAAATGTTATATGATTTGCATATAGTTTTACAATGTTGCTTGATGCATAAATTCAAATATATTGAAAGGCTTCATATAATGGCAACTTGTTTCACGCGAACATATATTGATTTATATGAAGTTAATCTTTTGCATGCTAATTACATTATATGGAGATGAAAGAAGTCTGATTATATAGCTACTGCAGTACTTGTTATTACACTTTCTCAAGACATGCATAATGTGTATGCTTATGTGTGATAGTTGTAAATGTAAATGTCAGTGGTGCCCTCTTATTGATATGATTGGCTAGCCAGCCGATGCATCGATAGAGTTAGGACTCTCTTGGGGGCATTAGACTCCACTAAGCAGGTGAAACCCTTTGTCCTGTTTAGGGTATCTTGGCAAATCGAATATGCATATGTATGTATATGCATATAAAATGTGTCATGAATCATGATAAATGGCTAATGAACCATCTCTAGATATATAAATATACCGGATGTTGTTGCACATGGATATGTTAGCATATAAATGCATTGATTATTGTTTTTCATATCATGAACATTCTATGTTGTAAGTCATCGTTGAATGTTTGGCCTTCTTTATCATCATATCTTGTAATATTATTCTAATATAATTTTATGATGATATTTATTATACTGATGTTGCATTATAATGTCTTTTTTATTATTCATATTGCATGTCTTGTGCTTTGCCATTTATGATTTAACAAATATAAGTTATCTATTGAGTTTGCTCAACAAAATAATTTAAGATAACTTTCTCTTAATATATCCTAAAAGATTGATTAGTGGACCGCCACTATAGGAACATATCTTTTAGCAATAGCTATTTACTTGAATCAACAACTATGTCGAAGTTGTAATTCTTTATTTTAGACTTTTATTGAGTTATGGGATGTAGTTGATTTATTTATTTTCTATTTGTTGATGTTTTAGTTTTTCTTGATGAAAGATTATTAAAGATTTTGTTGATACAATAAACTTTTAGTTCATATATTTTTGAGCATTCATTTACATATGTTCATATATGAATTTTTTTTCTTTGGAATACAAAATGCTTTAATTGGCCTTGACTCTTAAGACCTCTCTTTAATTCAGAATAGATCTCTTCATCATATCTCCTGTTGTCAGAGAATACTGTCTTTTGGACATTGTGTGTGACACCATACAAAACCTCTTATTTATTTGAGGGACCTACTTGTGAATTTAATGGATTTAATTATCATCTAATTTAAGACGATGAACATAAATGTATCATATCCATAGGACTATTAATCAAGTTTGGTTATATTAGAAACAATGCAAAACCGTACGAAAAAAGGGTGTAAGGAAAAAAAAACAATCAAGTTGGTCTAATTCCAAGTCAAGTACTACTTGATGAAGGGACTTTTAATTACTGTAGGAAAAAATGTATAGAGAAATGAAGTTGCACTTTTTTGTGGAAATTGTTTTTAGGGGAAAATTGGATGGTAAAGGAAAATGGCCTGAAACATAATTGATTAGGTAAATATGCAAAAGAATTATTAGATGGATGATTACAGAAGAAGATAATGTAATGTGATCAAACCTGCTGCAAACTACATATGAAGTTGTGTGCATTTGCTAACTCTGCGGCAACTATGATCTCAGCTTGTGTAGCTTTCCCATCTTGATTACCATAAGCAATGTTGGCATGGATGGTATCATTAAACAAGACTGGTTCTTGACTTACCAGTCCCATTTGCTGCCTCAACCATCTCAGTTGAAACTGATGGAGGTCTATTCCATCTACTGATATATGTCCTGAATCGGGATCATAAAATCGTTGTAGCAATGCTATTGCTGTTGATTTACCACTCCCACTTTCTCCTACTAATGCAATACTCTGTCCAATAAACTGCATTTTGTAACTCAAACCGTACCAAAAAAGAAAATAAAAGAAGATGACGAAACTCATCCAACTTTTTTTAACTAGTTTTGTCTAATTTAGCCTGTTACCTTTCCAGCTTGAACTTCTAAGCACATGTCTTGGAAAATTTGGATATCAGGTCTTGTAGGGTACCTGAAGCTAACGTGGTTAAATTTGATATTACCCTTAACAACTTCTAGGGTTTTTCCAGAATCAATGCTTGGGTCTATTTTTGATTCACGGTTAATGAGTGCAAAAATAGAAGCTGTAGCAGCTCTAGCTTTACTGGAATCTGGGCCTTGGGAGTTTGATTGAAAAATTCCTACTGTTGCTATGACCAGGACGTAGAAAGCCTGCAAAATTTCATTCCATGGAATTAAGCAGTAGATGAACAAAATTATTGTGGCGACATAGGGATCATAAACGAGCATTTTGTAATTCAAGTTGGAGGAAAATATGCATTCCATTTAAATATATCAAAGATAAAAAGCTTATAATATTTTGCTAAATAAATTGAAATTGAAAAGAATGCCTTTTTCCATTGTGAGAGCCAAACAGTTATTACCTTAGGGTATAAATTTTCAAAGAAAATAACATGTTACAAACATAATGATTTACACAAGTGAATTAGGGAGTTCTATACAACTTTTTGGTAAAATTTATAGAAAGAGAAATGCTTGTCAAGAAGAAAAATTTTCACAATGTGAAATGAAATGGCATAACTAAGGTGCTTTACTCATATTCTTTTATTTCATAAACATAGAGTTGATGAAAATAATATACAAGAAAGCTCATTACAAAGAATATATCCACTTTCAGTGGTTGGAAAGATAAGTTTAACATAATTTAGCAGGTTCTGTAGTCATCATTGAGTCGATAGCGAGAAAAGGCATCATGAAATAAGACAAACCAATGCAACTTTTAGATCTTAAAGAAAAAAAATTTGTCCTTCCTCTCCTTTGAATCTAAGACAAACAGTCAATTCCATTTTGATGCTACATGCTCTTTTTCTCATACCTTATTATTAATTATAAAGAAAAATGCACACCTTATTTTTCTTGGAAGTGTACAAAAGTTCCCAATTATGCGCATACATAATTGCTATCATCATTAGCTTTACGTTGACGGTTTGGGATGATAAGCTTTATGAGTCTTATTCTCCCTTCTCTCTTTTTTTTGTTGTTGTATCATGAGTTATCATTAAGGCAATAAAAAATATTAAGAATAAAATATATTAAGAAAAGTAGTCACTAAAAGGAGAATCTAAGCCTCATATGATACAAAGTGATATATTCCATTGTAGAGTCCCCATGAGATATTGTCTCTAGCTATAGGGGAGAGCTCGCTTAAGGTTTGCGGTGTTTTAGGTGGAGTTCCCATGAGCGTCACAATGACTTTGAATCTGTGATTTTCAAAACAAGCCTTATGGACATCTTCATTGTAACACCCCAGAATCAAATTTGAAAGAATTGTCTTTTTATATTTTTAAGAATATACCAGATGTTTTATAAATCATTAATATAAATAATAACCAGTGAAAATATTTAAAATCATATACATCAAAATATTTTACTATTTATTCATCTAAAATATCATTTACACTATCCAAGAGATTACTCTATCACTAATCTATAACAAGCTCCTGACTATAAAAGAATAAATGGAAACGCATAACAAAATTTAAAGAAAACCTGAGGATCTTTGACATGACCTCTTTCTGACAATAGGTGGTTTGATGGTTACTTTAAAGCTAAATTAAATGAAATAGAGAATAGGGATTTTAGATTTAGAATGACATTTCTTTATGCACGTGTAAATATGAAAATTGCAATGGGCAATCTGTGAAGATAGGAAGATCAGAAAGGCCTAGGGGTTGGTTATACATTTTGTTGAAGTCAGATTATGATATCTAGTTTATTTAGATGCGACAAAAGGTAAAGCCTGATAATTTTAATGCTGTACGTACCCTAAAGACTTTCTCAAATGTCGACTTCCCATCATGAACCAGGCGAGCTCCCATATATAAGATGGTAGCATAAGCACTATATAAGAAAAGCTGAGAAATCCCAAAACCGATGCCACTTATGACTCCTTGTCGAATCCCCAATCTCATGGGATCATCACACTTCTTTTTGTATAGTTCAACTACCTTTTCTTCAGCTGAGAATGAAACAACAGTCCTTATGTTTCCCACTGCATCATTGGTCACCTGGCTAGCCCCCAAAAACATGTTCTGCAACAAACCGGTTCCAATAAAATTAGATGTTAGTTTAAGTACTATGCCATTCATGGAATTCTCAGTATAACTTTTAGGTATGACGTTAATGCTAAGAGTTCTTAATGTTTTTTAGAGGCAGACCTCTGCATCTGCACTGAATCCTTTGATGAACTTTATCTGAATCCATGCATTGAGACCAACTAGGGGGACCACTCCCAAGACAATGAGAGAGATCTCCCAACTGGCTGCGAAGGCAATGATTAAACCAGCAATCAAAGATGCAGCGTTCTGAACATACAGACCGAGTCTATCACCGACAATACTTCTAACTTTAGCTGCATCAGTGGATAATCTTGAACCAACTTCACCACTGAAATTCTCAGGATCATCAAACCAGGCCATCTCCATGTTAACAACCTTCTCAAAAGTCATCATTCTTATCCTCCTTATCAACTTGGAACCAGCTAAAGCAAAGAAATATGACCTTGCTTGTACTGCTAATAGAGAAACTACTGCAATTACCAAAAACATTAATGACCAAAACTTAGAATCCTTCTTCATCTTATGTGGTGGCTCATAGAAAATAACCATCATGCTAGAAAGCATTATTCCTAGAACGGGAAAGACAACTCCATTGATGATTGCAGCTACCGAACCAATCAACAATACTGGAATCTCTGGTTTGTTTAGGCAAACAAGCTGGCGGAGCGGCACATCATTTGTTTTATCATCAGGAATGGTAGTTTTGAGCTCCTCTGATGTACCCCCCTGGACCTTAATTTCTAATGGAACACCGAGACCTATTTTGAATGAGTAGCGGCGGCTACTACCCCCCAGGCCCGGGGATGATTCTTCAGGTTCTAATTTGAATGTATGGTGGCGGCTACTATGAATAAGAGATGATTCACCCAGTTCTACATTGAATGAGTAGCGTTTGCTGATTTTCCCTATTGTTGATTCTCTGCTAATTTCCTCTTTGAATGACATGCGGTGACTCTTAGATCTTGTTTCTTTAAATAAACTATTTGTTCTGTCCTCAAGTACAGATGTCTTATCGGAACATCGGTTCATCTTCTGTAGTTTTATCAATTTGCTGTAAGCTCCATTTGGATTCTTCACAAGTTCAGAAGCTGAGCCTGATCAATGCAGTGCAGAAAAAATCAGTTTAAATTACTGCCCGAGATTTCACAATATTAAACAGAATAACTACATGTTCTATTATATTTGGTTAGACCTCCTTGATCAATTATCAAATGTTTTCAAATTACAAGTCATACCTTTTTCAACAATGGACCCTTGATGCATAACTGCTATGGTATCTGCCTTTCTTACTGCACTCAATCTATGAGCAACTATAATAGTTGTTCGGTTCAACATAAAGCTATCAATTGCCTCCTGCACAATTTGTTCAGATTCGACATCAAGTGCACTAGTGGCTTCATCTAAAAGTAATATTTTTGGATCCTTCAGTATGGCTCTTGCAAGTGCTATTCTTTGCTTCTGTCCTCCAGATAGTTGAGAACCATGCTCACCAACCATGGTATCTAGCCCCTGACAATATTAAAAAAAAAAATCAGTTACTATCCCTTACAGTTTCACTTGTCATAATTATACGCATTGTTACCTGAGGCATCTTGTTAATGAATCTTGAAGCATTAGCTAGCTCCGCAGCTGCTCTGATCTCTTCAATGGTTGCATTATCTTTGCCATACGAGATGTTTTCCCCAATGGTTGAGGTAAAGAGAATTGGCTCTTGGCTCACGATCCCTATTCTCCCCCTTAGCCATCTAAGTTGGAAGTGTTTTATGTTTATTCCATCAATGAGGATTTCACCTGCCTGTGGGTCATAAAACCTTTCAATCAAACTTATTAATGTTGACTTCCCACTACCACTCTCTCCAACCAATGCTATAGTGGTGCCACTGTGAATAAAAAGAGAGAACCCTTGGAATATTTGTTCATCTGGTCTGGTTGGATAGCTGAAATAAACTTCTTTGAATTCAATATCACCGTGAATGTCATCTAATTGTTTACCCGTTGAGTCATATGCATCGATCTCTGGCTTTCTGTTGATAATCTCAAATATTCTGTATGCTGCTGCTTGTCCGGCTGAAAATGCTTTCAAGCATGGAGATGCCTGACCTAAAGCTCTGCAAATCTCTAGACGATAAGTCTAGAGTCCAAGACACCAAAGAGAACTCCAAGAGAAACAATAATCAAGCATAACTCTAATCTTAATTTTCATCTTACTTAAGGCATGCAATTAAACAATAGAGCCAAAAGACTAAAAAGCCCATGCCGCCCCCTCCTTTGACTCAAAGTTTGAATTTGAATATCAAGTGGACCCTACCCTTCCCTCTCTCCTTTGCCGCCGCCCCCTTCCTGCTATAAACCCAAACCGGCCCCATAGAAGGGTCCGGCTGGACTGGTCCACTAAGGACCGGTCTAAAAAGGTGTTGCTATCACTGGTCATTAGTTATAAGGTTGCCTATGGTTGTTATTGCGATATTTATAGGTTTTCTCAAAAGCCATTAACCAGCATGGTTGATATTGAGACAGTCCTTTTCTTTGATGAGTGAGGGTTTATTTGGGTTTCGAGAAGGGTTGATGAGTATCTTTTTATTGCACATCATAATTGTAGCTTCTTTGTCAGTGGTTTAGATACTCTCTCACCCCTGATGGATGTAGGCTTATTTCAGTGGAACCATATAAATTTTAATGTTATCTTTTTTTTTTTTTTTGACGCTTGATTTCTTTTGCAACCATTTTGTGGTGCATCATATTTTCTCCTAGGTTGACACTTTTGCAGTGTAAAGTTAGGAACTCTATTTTGCTAACAAATGATAAATGCTTATATTATGTTTTTGGGTTAAATTTTTTAACTTAATATTGTTACTTTGAAACGCAGTTTCAAGCTGACTAGAATAAGGTAAAAGATCAAGTGCAGGTGAGTTTTCTGTAATGTGCCGTTGCTCTTCAGATGGCATATGTAATAATGTAAGAGCATCAACTTTAAAATTTGAGGTGTAGAGTTTGGTAGTGTATTTTCCTTATTATGTGCAGTTTCTCTTCAGTAACATAGCCATTTTTCTTCGCTCGAACCACTCATAATGTTACAAACAAATATATTATCATTGTTTGCTTTACTGCAAAAGGAACCTAATGTGATGTGAGAGCATCAACTTCAAAATTTGTAGTGTTGAGGCAGGTAGTGTGTATTCCATTTTGCAAGAGATGACATGTTACTTATGTTCTCTTTCCCTGTGAGTAGTTGTTACATTTAGTTAATGCCATCTTTGTTGCAAAAGAGACGAAACAAGTTTTGAATGTTTTCCATCTTTTGCTCGTCTTTATTAGCAAAATTTAATCAAACTGGAAAAAAAGGCAAGAAATGAATAACTTACAAAGCGCCAATCAGGACTGTGAAGATAACAGCAATGATATCTCCTCCAGTGTATCCTTTATTTAATATCAGCTTTGAACTATTCCACAATCCAAAAGCATAGCTACTGTAGTTAAAAAACAGTACAAGCCCAGCACCTAACCCAGTAGTCAGTCCCTCATAAATACAAGAAATATATGCACCATTTAAAGCCTTCTTATATTTCTGCATAGCAAGTTTCTCCCCTGTAAAAGATGCTACCTAGCAAGATCAACATCATATTTAGTTTATGAATGTATGATTTAGGTCTATTAATGCAATTTTCAAAGTACTGATTTTTTGCTTAATTTCATTTGCTACTTACTGTTCTTATTGAGCTTATAGTTTGTTCTACAATTTCTGAAGCTTTGATATATGATTTTTGTTCATTCGAAGACATCTTGGATAGAACAATTGCCATAATAGCACCGCAAACAACCATAGGTGGAATTGTAGACAGCATGATCAATGTGAGTAACCATCCTTCAACGAATGAAACAACGAAGGCAATAAGGAATGTTGATATTAGATTGATGAACTTTCCAACCTGTAAAATTGCAAATGATCGACAGAGTTACAGATTAATTCAAATATCTATTCTAAGTAATGTGCTACGTTTAAAAAGTTTATGAATAACACCAAAACCGTTTAGTTCTCAGTGCCAAACTAATCTCGAGTATTGAATTAAATGATGGCATGGCTAAAAATGTTCGGCATAGATGGTAAAAATAAATCAGCACAGATTTGTTTCTTTCATTCTTAGTTATATGCATATTAGATGAGAATGAATTCGGTAAGAATAAATACCTGCTCGCCCATGGCTTCTTGAATGAGGATGATGTCCCCTGACATTCTTTCGATTACTTCTCCTGTGCTTATTTCCAAATCAAAGAACGCAATCTCTTGTTTTAATATGGCTTTGAAGTAAATACTCCTTATTCTTGCTGTTTGCCTTTCCCCAGTGACCATCCAACAAGTTACCTCTAAAATTTATCAAGAAGAAACATTAATAAATTGTAGTTTTTGAAATTTAGTCTTAAAAAAAAAAAATTCAAATCAAGAACGTACGGAGAAAGGATGCAAGCCCTGATCCAATTGCCATGTAGAACATTTGCAGTGTCAGCTGCAAGCGCAAAGAGCTTAGTATTTCAATTAGTTAGTTTAAAGTTATTAATTGTTCGAAATTTTTATTTATGAGCACAGATAGACTTCAAGTGCTATAAATATCATAAAGAGGCACTAAAACAGTAAAACCTCAACAATTTTAAAATCAAATGCTATAAATACCATTCTCTCAAAGCATTGCGCTTATAATATACATTTTCTCATATTCTACTCTTTTTAATCTTATGAACAATACTTGTAATCATTTATAAATATAAAAGTGAGGCATAAAAAAACTTAGTGAGCATATCATGCTTTTAAATTACAATAACACGATATTGAGAATAATATGCTTTCTCATTTCAAAATATAAGATAATTCTAATTAAACATTTTAGACATGTTCATCAATGTTATGCATATTTTATATCTTTATCCTTTATCGTAAATAATATAACTCACAAGAAATACCGTCTAAAATAGTACTAATGAATGTACCCATTTTCCATTTCATTTTTTTTTATAACTTTTTTTCATTTATGTGCACGAGTACATTGCATTCCAACCAGTACCATAAAGAGGTGTTTTCCATCAATCAATCTTGCACATACAAACATATATATCTTGTCATTTCATTCATATAACATTCATTTTTAAAAATGTGAAATACATGTGAATTTTTATTTGATTCAAAATGGCCAATCATTGAATATGAGAAAGACAAATCAAGATTTTTCTTGCAATAAAAATTTAATAATAAAGTAACACTATCTTTTGATGCATTTAATTTAAGAGAAAAATAAAATTGTTATTATAATTAAAAGGTATGAGTACTCATCTCGAAATTGGATGCCTTAACAATTTGCTTTAATCACCAACGTCAGCTTAAATCCTATATAAATGCATTCTCATTGTATATTTGAAATATTCTCTAAATCTATTATTAATTTTTACTCTCATAAATTTATGAATCTAACAATTAAAATATTAAGTAATATTATTAATTTATTTTTATACTACATAAATTTCCTAGTTTATCTGTCTAATTACTTATTAAATATACCTAAATAGTTATCGTATTTAATTTAAAATTTGTTCTCCATGCTTTATCATTTAAATATGAATAAAATCATAATTTAATTATTATTAAATTAACCTATTAAATATACTCTCATTTTCTATGCAAATTATTTTTAACTTATCAGTATTTACTCTTCTAAATCTAATTTATGACTTAACATAATATAAGCTTAATTTATTCCCTATCTAATTTAATAGCTTATATATTGATATATCATCAAAAAGTATCTTGATCAAGCATGAATCTCAAAGCAAAATTAAGTTGGATACTTCAAAAAGTAAATTCATGACCATATGAACTCCAATTTCAGCAAACTTATAGTCTAACTGAACGTCTCAGAAATACGAACCGAACAATACCAAATTTAACTCAATCCGAGCCCAAATGAGTCCAAATCAAAGACTCGAAACACATTTGAAAGGTTCAAACCATAATTTGGATTACCAAACGGTTTCCAAACATGACATGCTTATATTTGAATCGAGCGGCTCGACGAGACAAATCCAATTAGCCCAAGATCAACAAATTTTGATATCATTAAGACATTCAAATGTCCAGTAAATAGTCCACGATCAAGAGAATCAACATCAGTCGTCCATTCAAACCACTCCCAATTTACCATTGATTTTCCTTCTATTTACATGTCATGCCATTCTCAAAATTCTATAAATAGACCCCTCACTTATCATGGAAAGAGGACCAAGCATGGAAGCGAGAAGAGAGATCGGAGATCGCTCTTGCCACTTAGCTCCTCCTAGACCACGACCCAGACTTCCGCCAGACCACTGCCCGACGTTGTACTTATGTAGGACCACCTCCTGAAGCCAGACTTCCACCGGACCACTGACTGACGCCCAGACTACCACTCGATGCTGGAATTTCGTCGGACAACCGCCTGACGCCAGACTTCAGCCGGACCACTGATTGATGCTCTAAATTCTGCTGGACCTCCAACTAACGCCTGAATTCCACCGGACCACTAAATGGAGCGGGACTTTTGCCGGACCACCGACTGAAGCTAAAGTTTCCTCTGGACCATCGAATGACGCCCGAACATCTGCCGGACCACCAACTGACGCCTAGACTTCCACTGATCCACCAATTGAAGCCTCGACTTCCGTCGTACCTCCAACTGAAGCCTGAACTTCCGCCGGACCACCAACTGACGCCTGGACTTCTACCAGACCACCGACTGATGCCGCATTTTTGCCTGACCACTGACTGACGCCCGGATTTCTGCTGGACCCCTAACTGATGCGCGGACTTCCACCGGACCACCAACTAACATCGGAATTATGTTTGACCACCAACTGACACCAGAATTCTACCAGACCACCAACTGACGCCATAATTCTAGCAGCTCGTGCTCACCGATAGCTACTTGCCCGATCATTTTTCCTCGCTTCTGCACCCACTCTCTTTGTCTCTTTCGTTTCTCCCTCTCATTCCTAATTTATAGGAAGGTAGAATCCCTTCCAATGAATCGACTTGTTCGCTTCATATTCTTTCCATCGTCTTCTGCGGCCGAAGCGACAGAAGCGTCGTACGTAGTCGATTTAGACTTCTCGCACGGCCTCAAGTGTTGAAACGATATGACCCTTCGACCTCTTTGTCTTAATGTGGCTCCAATTGTAATGAAAGCCCATTCTTTTGCTTCATCTTCTTCGACTTCTTCACGATACAAGACCTTGTTTCGGGGCATTACAATTTTGGCAGGAGTCATGCTAGAATAGATGTATTGGATTTGGCCTATATTAAAAAAAAGTAGAGGTAGGCCTAAAAAGATTTAATTAGAAAGTATTATAAGTGACTTATTTGTATTATATTTAAATGAAAATTGGACTCTTAAGACGGCACAATCGAGAATACTTGATGATAATGTTCTTGTTGTTTACTACTATTAAAATTATCACATCCTTTTAGGTGTAGATCCGACTCTTGTCATAAAATGATCTCAAATATAGCCTAAGAATTTCTCCTTACAGTCATCTGTCTGCACAGACTAAAGAGTTTGTTCTTTCAGTTTTTTTTAGCTTAATTTTTCTCCTCGCCGTTCTAGGAAAACAACTAGTAGGATAGCTGGAAAAAAAAAATTATAGTTGTACGTACCTTGGAAACTCTATGAACAACATCATTGACATCACCAGCTCCATAAGAATCAGTTATTTTCCCTCCTAGAAGCATACAGATAGGCATGGCTGCTCCATTGGCTATGGCTCCAGCTGTGCCGAGGATCATGAGGATTATGTCAATGGAGTCTGCTAAACCAAATAATCTGTAAAAGGGAAGAGAACTGCTCTTCTCCTCTTTTTTCTTTGCTCCTCTCTCTTCACCTTCTATGCTCGCCATCTCCTTCCTGAGAATCTGTTCAATCTACAGCAGCAGCAATAGATCAGCGCCTGCATATGCATATTTATGAATATGAACTTATGTTTGGTGAAGAAGAGTTTTTCAAAACGATAAAAGTAATTGATGCTTAGTTTAATAATGAGTTGAAGTTGTATACAGCAAGAAATAGTTTATTTTCTTATAAGATGCTTAATAAATGTCATAAGAATTTAGAAAATAAGCCAAAAATGACCTATCGAAGAGCATTTTTTTTTTTAATTTCAACTCTTATGTGATTTAATAATAGCTATGAAGTTTATTTTAGAACAATAATTAATTCATTTCATATAAAATAATGCAACAGATGAAATAAGAGTTTGAAATATGAACAAGGATATATATTTGATGATTAAATGCCATACTAATTGGATCCTTAATTTTTTTTAATTGCCAAAGGATTAAAATAAAAAGCAATATGTGGGGCCTCTCAAGTACTTGGGGAGTTTTAATCATGGCTTTGAAAACCGGACCGAACCGGCCGGTTCGACCGTGGACCGGTCCTAAGGCCGGTTCAGTCCTCTTAAGAAACTGGTCTAGCATCAAACCGGTGAAAACCGGTTTGAACCACCGGGTTCTTAAGAAATGTTTGGTTCAATTATAATATATTTAAATAATTTAATTTAATATAAAATTATATTTTTTAAATATTAAATTAACTTAAATATGATATATAATTTCAAATTTTTTTAACATTATATAAATTATTAAATACAAAGATATCATAACAACATGATTCATTCACCCCATCAGGACTCTTAACAATTGCATACAAGAAAATGTATATAAATATCAAAATATAAGCTCCTAAGTGATGTGGGGCTAAACAACTTATATTTTTTAGTTCCAACGACCGATCCGATTTTCAAAGCCTTGGTTTTAATAGATCAAGTTCCAAGGTAAATTTTGGGAAGACATTGAATTTGTATATAAGAAACTACCCAAAGATTTCACCCTTATTTTGCGATGACTTTATGATATGAGTTCTGATTTCATATAGGCGTAAGTCCCTATAGTTAGTTACCCCTCCCGATAACAAGAGAGAACTTTCGATTAAGGTTAGTCGTCAATTAAATATGTAGAGATACGTGTTATCTGACATATAGTAGCAGCATGACTTTAGGTATTAAAAATTTTAATATTTAAAAAATCAGAAATTACACCATCATACACTTAAAGTGAATGATGGGGGAATGAATGATGAACCCGATCAATGTCCCATGGTTCCGTCGTCCCGGGCTATCGTGGTCCCCGGTCTACTTAGTTAGAGGAGGTAGTAGACCCAAACTGACAGAATGATCCATGCTGGCAGTCATGGCCGGGTTGCTTCATCTAAATGTACATTATAGATATAGGGTGAATAGTTGTTTAAGGGGAGAAATTTGAATCCATCTTAGCTGATAGAGGATTTTTTGCCATATCAATTATATCTTATTGATTCATATCTCAAAGATTTGATGCACAGGGAAGCATACATGCTCTGGCCACGACCGTAATTTATTGGTTCCATTTGGAGACAAAAATCCTGTTTTGAGGGCCCCGGTCATAGCCATTCACCTACTGTGTCATTTAGCGGCGAAATTGCCAGGTAGAAAACACGTGCCACGTTCTTATTGACAGGAGATTGTTTGAGAATGAATCATATTGATATTTTCAACTATAAATTAGCTCTTCGTGATCTGAAGTGTATTTTAAATTTATCCATATTGATAACTATTGCAGAGAATTGATGGGTTTTATTTTATTTGTTTTGATAATTAATTTTATTTTTAAATATTTTGAATTTTCAGTGTTTTGGATTTTGATGGGTATTTAGGTGGTACTTTGAATAATAGAATTGATCCCTCCGGTTTAGATCTATATTTAACACTGCCATCATTTGGATATTTATGGGTAATTATATTTTGTTGATTGAACCCTGTTGACTTTGTCAGTTGTCGATAGAGGATCAAATTTAAGCTGGCTTTGCGCGTTTGTTGATGAATTTTCTTTCTTATAGATCGTGATGGCCTAATATGAACGTTTCAAAACAAATATTTCGGTCGTCGCTATAACCGTATATTTGATTTCAATTTGAATTCTTTGTTTAGTTTGGGTTCAAGTTCTCTGCTGTTCAAGTCTTGTTCAGGTCCCTTGTTCACTAGAAATTTTGCAGCCACTCGGCGTCTCCCCCTGTTTAGGAAAAATTCCAGGAGTATGGGCCTCCTGCCACGCTAGAGAAAAAAGTGTACGGTAAGCGTAAATCTTCAATCCCAGCACGTCCAAGAAAGACGTGTATGAGTTTTCAGGCGTGTATGAGTTTTCAGGTACCTATTTTGAAAACGCAGTTCTTTCCCCCGCCACGCCATGGGAGCGTGTATGGGGCGTACCCGTAGGCTCCACACCGGGTTCTCTTCCCTCTACGCTAGAGAAAATCAAGTATAAGATGTTTTTCGGTGCGCTGCGAATGTCGAATGTGGGATTTTTAGGAGTTTATACCTTTGCGATGACGACGCTAACGAGTGGTAAAAAAAACACAAAACATTCCCTTTTATTTTTTTATGGAAACTCTTTTTCACTTTTTTTTTAAAATCTTTTTTTCTATTTTCTCTTTTTTCTCTTTTTTGAAACTCTCTTTTATTTTTCTTTTCTTTGTCTCTAATTTTTTTTTATGATAACGGAAACAAATAATAACTATTTTTATTATGATTAATAATAGTTATAATAGTAATTAATTAATTATTATTATTATTAATTATAATCATAATTAATAATAGTTGTGATAATAATTAGCTACTAATAATTACGAGTAATTATAATTGATATTAATTATAATTGTTGCGTCCAGGAGTATTTGCGGCGGTAGAGAAATATAAAGTTTATCGTCTTAGCGTTGTACGAAAATCCGGCACGCAATCAGATAAGAGAAAGGGTCTAGCATTTATGAGACACCAATATTTTTACGTGGAAAACCCCTGAAAAGGGGGAAAAACCACGGGGCCTAGCCCAGTTTGAATGAATCCACTAAAATAATTCAATGCAGTGCAGAAAAATCAGTTTACAATTACTGCCCGAGAATTTCACAATATTAAAACAAAAAATAACTAAATGTCTATTATATTTGGGTTAGACTCCTTGCATCAATTATCAAATGTTTTCAAATTTACAAGTCATTACCTTTTTCAACAATGACCCTTGATGCATAACTGCTTTGTAATCTGCCTTTTCTTACTGGCACTCCAATCTTCTATGAGCAAACATATAATAGTTTTTCCCCGTTCAACATAAAGCTAATCAATGCCCCTTGCACAATTTGTTCAGATTCGACATCAAGTGCCACTAGCTGGCTTCATTAAAAGTAATATTTTTGGATCCTTCCAGATGGCCTCTTGCAAGTGTGTATCTTTCTTCTGTCCTCCAGATAGATTGAGAAACCATGCTCACCAACCATGGTATTAGCCCCTTGACAAATTAAAAAAAAAATCAGTTATATCCCTTAAGTTTTCACGTTCATAGATTATTACGCATTTACCTGAGGCATCTTGTTAATGAATCTTGAAAAGCCATTAGCTAGCTCCGCAGCGCTCTGATTTCTCTTCATGGTTGCATTATCTTTGCCATACGAGATGTTCCCCATCATCGGTTTGAGGTAAAGAGAATTGGCTTCTTTGGGTCTCACGATCCCTATCTCCCCCTCTAGCCATCTAAGTTGGAAGTGTTTATGTTTTATTCTCGGGTAATTCACTTGAGGAAACCTTGAATTCAACCTATGCTGTGGGCATAACTTCCCACCACACTACTCTAGGTTCCTTTCTCTCCAACCAATCACCCATATAAGTCGCCACTAAGGAGGTAAATCAACAAAGTACAGAGCAAAACCCTTGGGAATTATTTTTGTTCATCGGTCTGGTTGGATAGCGTGAAATAAACTTCTTCTGAAAATTCAAATATCACTGTGAAGTCATCTAATTGTTTTACCCGTTGAGTCATATTGCATCGATTCTCTGGCTTTCTGTTGATAATCTACAAATTATTCTGTATGTGCTGCTTTCCGGCTGAAAATGCTTTCAAGCGGAGGATGCCCTGACCTAAAGCTCTGCCAAATCTCTAGACGATAAGTCTTAAGTCCAAGGGACACCAAAAGAGGAACTCCAAGGAGAGAACAATAATCAAGCATAACTCTAATCCTTTAAATTTTCAATCTTACATTAAGGCATTGCCTAAATTAAACAATAGAGCCAAAAGACTAAAAAGCCCATGCCGCCCCCCTCCTTTGACTCAAAGTTGAATATTTGAATATTCAAGTGGACCCCTACCCCTGTCCCTCCTCCTTTGCCGCCGCCCCCTTCCTGCTTAAACCCAAACCGGCCCCATAGAAGGGTCCGGCTGGATGGCTCCACTAGGACCGGTCTAAAAGGTTTCGCTAATCACTGGTCATAGCTATAAGGTCTGCTATGGTTGTTTTATTGCGATATTTATTAGGGTTTTCTCAAAAAGCCATTATAACCAGCATGTCTCAATTGAGACATCCTTATCTTTAATGAGTGAGGGTTATTGGGTTTCGAGACAGGTTTATGAGTATCTTATTTATGTGCACATCATAATTGTACGCCTTTGTCAGTGGTTGATACTTCTTCACCCCTGATGGATGTAGCTATATTTCAGTGGAACCATTTATAAATTTTTCAATGTTGACTTTTTTTTTTTTTTTTGACGCTGATTTCTTTTGCAAACTCTTTGTGGTGCATATTTTCTTCTAGGTTTGACACTTTTGCAGTGTCAAGTTAGGAAACTCTATTTTGCTAACAAATGATAAATGCTTATATTATGTGTTTGGGTTAAGTATTTTTTAACTTTAATATTTGTACTTTGAAACTGCAGTTTTCAAGCTTGACTTAGAATAAGGATAAAAGGATCAAGTGCAGTTGAGTTTTCTGTATGGGTGGTGCCGTTGCCTCTCAGATGGCATTATGTAATAATGTAAAGAGCATCAACTTAAAAATTTGAAGGTGTAGAAGTTTGGTAGGTGTTTTTCCTTATTATGTGCCAGTTTCTCTTCAGTAAACATAGCCATTTTTCTTCGCTCAACCACTCATTAATGTTAACAAACAAATATATTATCATGTTTACTTTACTGCAAAAGGAACCAATTGTGACCTATGTGAGAGCATCAACTTAAATTTGTAGGTCTTGACAGGTAGTTGTATTCCATTTTGCAAAGAGATGACATGTTTACTTATGTTCTCTTCCCTGTGACTAGTTGTTACAGTTTAAGTTATGCCATTTTGTGCAAAAGAGACGAAAACAAGTTTTTGAATGTTTTCCATCTTTTTGCTTCGTCTTTATTGAGCCAAAATTTAATCAAACTTTGGGAAAAAAGGCAAGAATGAATAACTTAACAAAGCGCCAATTCAGACTGTGAGATTAACAGCAATGATATCTCCTCCAGTGTATCCTGTATTTAATACAGCTTTGAAACTCATTCCAACAACCAAAGCATAGCTACTGTAGTTTAAAAAAACAGACAAGCCACTCCTAACCCAGTAGTCAGTCCCTCATAAATACCAAGAATAATATTGCACCATTTAAAGCCTTCTATATTTCTGCACAGCAAGTTCTCCCCTGTAAAATAAGATGACCCTAGCAAGTCAACATCATCATTTAGTTTATGAATTGTGATGAATTTAGGTCTATTTAATGCATTTCAAAGTACTTGATATTTTTGCTTTATTCATTTTTGTACTATACTGTTCTTATTGAGCTTATCAGTTTGTTCTACAATTTCTGAAGCTTTGATATATGCATTCTTTGTTTCATTCGAAGACATCTTGGATAGAACAATTGCCATAAATAGACACCGCAAACAACCATTAGGTGGAATTGTAGACCAGCATGATCAATGTGAGTAAACCATCTTCAACGGAATGAAACAACGAAGGCAATAAGGAATGTTGGATTATTGGATTGATGAACTTTTCCAACCTGGTTAAAATTGCCAAAATGATTCGACAGGAGTTACAGATTAATTCAATCTCTATTAAGTAATGTGCTACGTTTAAAAAGTTTGATGAATAACACCAAAACCGCTTTCAGTTCTTGCATGCCAAACTAATCTCGAGTATGAATTAAAATGATGGCATGGCTAAAAAAATGTCGGCATAGATGGTAACCAATATAAACAGCACAGATTTGTTTTCTTTCATTCTTAGTTATATGGCATATTAGATGAGAACTGAATCTCCGGTAGACATAAATACCTGCTCGCCCATGCTTCTTGAATGAGGATGATGTCCCCTGACTTCTTCGCAGTTACTTCTCCCTGCTTTATTTCCAAATCAAAGAACGCAATTCTCTGTTTTAATATTGGCTTTGAAGTAAATACTCCTTATTCTTGCTGTTTGCCTTTCCCCGTGACCATCCAACCAAGGTTACCTCTGAAATTTATCAAGAAGAAACATTAATAAATGTAGTTTTTGGAAATAGCTTTAAAAAAAAATTCAAATCAAGAACGTACGGAGAAAGGATGCAAGCCCTGATCCAATTGCCATGATAGAATTCAGCAGTTGTGCGCGAAGAGTAGGTTCATAGTTAGGTATATATGCAATTTTTTGCTAAGTAGTTGACGGCAATCAAGAAGTTAAACGTTTGGTAGGATTTCAGTGTATCTTAAGCTATAACTATATAATGTTATGCATTAAAAGTTAATAAATTGAACAGGTACTTCAGTGTCAGCTAAATCAAAAAAAAAATAAAAAATATAATTTATAATAAAAAATAATAATTATATAATTATGAGCATAATATGACTATCAAGTACTATTATATCATAAAGAGCCACTAAGAAAAATTCCTCAACAATTTTAAAAATCAATGCTATAAATACCATTCTTCTCAAAGCAATGGCGCTTACATAGATATACATTTTCTCATATTCTTACTCTTTTTAATCTTATGAACATACTTGTAATCATTATAAATATAGAAAAGCGGTCAAAAAAAACTTATGAGCAATCTATGTTTTAAATTTACATAACACAGATATTGAGAATTAATATGCTTCTCATGGTCAAAATATAAGATAATTCTAATTAAACATTTTAGACATGTTCATTCATGTTATGCATATTCTATATCTTTATCTTTACGTAAAATATATAAACTTCACAAGAAAAATCTACCGTCCTAAAATAGTACTAATGAATGTACCCATTGTTCCATTTCATTTTTTTTATTAAACTTTTTTTTCATTTATGTGCACGCAGTACATTGCATCTCAACCCAGTACCATAAAAAGAGGTGTTTCCATCAATCAATCTTGCACATACAAAACATATATATCTTGTCATTTCATTATATATAACATTCATTTTTTAAAATGGGAAATACTGTGAATTTTTATTTGATTCAAAATGGCCAATCATTGAATATTGAGAAAAGACAATCATGATTTTCTTTGCAAATAAAAATTTAATTAAAGTAAACACTCATCGGTTTGATGCATTTAATTTAAGAGAAAAATAAAATAGTTATTATAATAAAAGGTACTGAGTACTGCATCTCGAAAATGGACTGCCTTAAACATTGACCTTTAATCCACCAACTCAGGCTTTAAATCCTATATAAAATGCATCTCTCCATGTATTATTTGAAAATATTCTCTAAATCTATTATTTAATTTACTCTTCTATAAATTTATAATTCTAACAATTAAAATATTAAGTAATTTATTATTAATTATTTATTATGCTACATTAAATTTCCCTGTACTATGCTGTTCTAATTACTTATTAAATTATACCTAAATAGGTATCGTATTATTATTTAAAATTGTTTTCCATGCTTTATCATTTAAAATATGAATAAATCATAATTTAATTATTATTAAATTAATACTATTAAATTCTCGTCATTTTCTATGCCAAATTATTTTAACTTATCAGTATTTACTCTTCTTAAATCTAATTTATGACTTAACATAATATAAGCCTTAATTTTTCCCTATCTAATGTTAATAGCTTATAATTGTTATCATTCAAAAAGTATGTGATCAAGCATGAATCTCAAAAGCAAAATTTAAGTTGATAACTTCAAAAATAAATTCATGACCATATGAACTCCAAATTCAGAAACTATAGTCTTACTGATACGTATCTTCTGAAAACGAAATCCGCGAACATTACCAAATTTAAACTCAATCCGAGCCCAAATGAGTCCAATCAAAGACTCGAAACACATTTGGAAAGAGTCAAACCATAATTTGGATTACCAAAACGGTTTCCAAAACATGACCATGCTTATATTTGAATCGAGCGGCTCGACGAGACAAATCCAATTAGCCAAGTATTCAACAAATTTTTGATATCATTAAGACATTTCCAAAATGTCCAGGTAAATAGTCCACGATCAAGAGGCAATCAACATGCAGTCGTCCATTGCAAACCACTCCCAATTTTACCATTGATTTCCTTCTATTGTACATGTTCATGCCATTCTCAAAATTTATAAATAGACCCTCACTTATATGAAAGAGGACCAAGGAACAGGAAGCGAGAAAGAGAGATCGGAGATCGCCTGCCCACTTAGCTCCTCCGTGACCACGACCCCAGACTTCTGCCAGACCCACTTGCCCGACGTGGA